GGACAGTCCCAGGGCCATTTTCATCATGAAGTGTTTGATATTATCTAGTTTCAATAGTTGCTATTAAAAGATAATCCAGGCTAAGTTTTTTTGGTCGTCCTCTACATCTCTATCTCTCTCTCTCTCTCTCTCTCTCTCTCTCTCTCTCTCTCTCTCTCTCTCTCTCCCTCTCTCCCACTCTTTCTTTAAAAAAAAAAAGAAAGCTGAAAAAATCCTCTTGCTCCATACAGCTTACTCCATGCTGGAAAATACTGAGTTGGTACTTTTGCTCTCATAATCAGCTCTGCAATATCAATCCTAATAATGATCCTGGGGTATCCCATTGTATATGAGCCTTTAAGTTTGAATTCTGGTGTGTGCATGTAGGTGTGTGGTACACTTATTGTGTGGAATTTTAGACTTAATCTAACTTTATCCTACACTCTTGCTTCACACACTTCTTTTTGTTTCAGAATTTGGAAGAAATCCTATGGCAAGATAACCTAGAAAATTAGTATCAGGTTTGGGATATGTCTATCATTTTGAATGGGCAGCGAGTATCTATTTCTTGGGTTTGAAGTTGTTCTCCTTGATGATAAGATTTTGTAAGACTTCAAGTTACCCAGGCATGTATCTGGGAATAGCAGAAAGAACATGTGTTTTGAAATCCTATAGACTTGGAGGCAAATACTGCTCTGACGCTAACTATGTGGCCCTGGATAATCTTGTCTTTACAATTATTATATCATGCTTATTATAAACTTGTTGAGAAAAATAGAGATTATGTCCCCAAATCAACTAGCCAACTGTTTTGCTTGTAGTTTTCTATCAAGCCAGGCTGGGGTTGTGGCTCAGTGGTAGATCGCTTGCCTTGCACATGTGAAGCCTTGGGTTCAATCCTCAGCACCACATAAAAATAAATAAATATGGGCTGGGGATGTGGCTCAAGTGGTAACGCATTTGCCTGGCATGTGCAGGGCGCTGGGTTCGATCCTCAGCATCACATAAAATAAAGATGTTGTGTCCACCGAAAACTGAAAAATAAATATTAAAAAATTAAAAATAAATAAATAAGTAAAATAAAGCTATGTGTCCAATTATTATATATATATATATATATATATATATATATATATATATATATCCATGATGTGATCATAAGGATATAAGGATTTGAGAGTATAAATTCAACTCTTTTATTTAATTGGGATAAAGAACCTGCATTCAGGGGTCCCAAGTCATAAGTCCCAGGTCAAACTATAGCATTATTTGAAAAATGTATGGTATCAGGATTAAGGATGAAGCTTAGTGGTAGAGTAATTTATTAGCATGTTTGATGAGTTCAATTCCCAGCATTGAGAGAGAGAGAGAAAGGGACAGTGAATTTATGGCTTCTTTCAAGTTCTTTGATGTTGTTTTAACATGGTGTATGGCATGTAGTGTAAATCGAATCTATATGAATGAATCATGCCCTTAGCCACTTAAAATGTCAATGGAATTTTAATAACTTTTCTGTTTAATTTCTGCATACAGATTTCTAGCAACAAGAGCAATCTAAGTAGTTTTGCATTGTCTTTTTTATAGTAGAAAATATAATTTTATATGTTGTTTAATATCCCCATCTAGGTCTATGTAACTACATTCAGATTCATATTTAAATCAATGAAAGAAAGCATTTGAAAAGAATGCATGATTTATAGGATACAAAAGAACTCATTTTCATTCTTTTTGAGATTTTCTTTATGCCATGTAATTTACTGAGCTGATAAGTAATTTTTGTGCTTTTCTGAAATGATTTTTTTTCTCTTAGGAATGTAGAAGTTGAAATGAAGAGAAATAAAACCTTATATTCATTTAATACATGGGATTACTTTATAGAAGGAGAAATTAAAGTGGCTTAAGCTTTAAAAGGTTGAGGAATTATTCCTGAGTTTATACTGACTTATTTGCATCATTTGAATTTTGTTCTTTCTTTGTTGCTTCTTTCCTAGGTTACTTGCTGGTTTCAAAAAACCATAAGAGATTTGCAGGAACAAAGTCTAGGTTCATCACTTTCAGACAATGAGGAGCTAACTTGTAAGCACGAGGAACTAACAATAAAAGCAAAGGTAAGAGACACTAAAAATAATTGAAAATGCATGGGGTTCTCTTGAATATGTTTGTATGAGTGATTTAGAGGAGGGCTTCTAGAACAGCAAGAAAACCAACATCTTCTATAATCTCTATATTCTTAATAGTGAACTACATACCAGATGCTATGCTAAGAAAGTATATTAGATGCTTTCTTTAAATTATCACAAAAACCCTAAAAAGTATGTATTATTTTTCTCGTATTATGGATCAAACCAAAGAAACAAAACAGAGGCTTGGAGATGCAAAATAACTTGACCATTACAGTGTCTTCTCAATGACAGTGTTGGAATTTAATGCTAGATTTTGTCTAGTCCACGGCTCAAGGTCTTTACACTTTGGTAGTTTTCTAAATAATTTTGTCTATCCTGAGATCTCAACTCACCATCACTTTCAAGGTATGGTTTGATAACTGTTCCCATTTACATTTTCCTAGTTCCTTGACTCAAAATTTCTCAATTTTATAAGAAGTATGGGCTGCCGGCCAGGTAATTTCTTGTTGATATCTGGAATGTGCAAAAATAGACCCAGGGAGGGCTGGAAGCATGATGAACAGGGAAGCTGGACTATAGTTGTTCCTCTTTCCATTGAATTTTGTTATTTAGAAATCAACTCATTTGTACAAGTTGGGTCTGTAAATACTTTCCGCAATTCTTTATAGTGCTCCATATTGATCTGTAAGAAAACAAATTCCGACATAATAGACTGAGTGAGAACTGTGAATACTGTATACAGCATCAAGATTTAAAGAACTCTGAATTATTAATATAGTGGGTGGTTAGCAGCTGTAGGTAAAACCGTCACGAAGTTCTGGAAAACAAGGCACCAATGCCACTGAACAGTGGTTGAAAACAGTGAAAACAAACCAACTATTCACATGTCTAGGATGGAAATTGATGGGGAGGGGACAGGCCGTAGATTGCATTTATTTAGATTTAAATCTTCTCATAGGGATCATGACATATTTTTGTCTTGTTTTGTGTTACTTTCTTTCTTTTATTTGAGTACTGTAGTAAATTGTGGGTGTTCAAACTGTTTGATTTGAATATCTAACTGATCGATAAAAGGTACTATTACAGGAGTCTGTTGATCCAACAGTGATGCTCATTTTTTAAGTTCTTTACATTTTTTCAGCATTTAAAAAATCTACTTATAAAGTTAATTTTTATTGAGGTTGTACAATAATTTATTCTGTGTGTATCAAACTCAAATTTTATCAGAGAAAATTCTGTCAAAATCTTCAAATGCTAAGCACAAGGGATGGATTGAATTGTGTATGATAGCTACTTCCTTTAAAACAAGTGAGCAAAACCAGTATAACCACATAATTTAGACTTACTGTGAGTTTTGGTCACTATAAACATGGAGTTATTATGGTTTTTTACAGCCATGAGGTGAAGTAGAATATTTGTTAATGTTTGACTTTGGTTTTAGTAGGTCACAATTTCTATCACAGTTTGCAGTTCATATTTGAACCTCTGATATGCCTAAATAGAAAAGCATACAGATATCCTTTCCATCATTATCCTTAAATTACAAACATGACTGTGCCATTTTACATTTCTGCCAAAAGTGAATAAGACTTACTATTGTTCCCTATCCTTGCTAACATTTGGTACTGTAGGTGTTCTGAATTTTGGCTGTTCAAATAGATGTGCAGTGGTAACTCAATGTTGTTTTAATTTGTATTTCTCCTGATGACATAGGAAGCAGAGTATCTTTTACATCTATTTGCCTCTATACCTTCTCTGTTGATATATCTGATAACATCTTTGCCTCCTTATTTTAATGAGGTGTTTTGTTTTCTTACTGTTGAGTAGAAATAAATTTTTAGTAATACATATTTTATTATGCCAAGTGAACTGTGGAAAAATTCAAAACTCGAAGGAAAATAAAAGCTAATCCTTCAACTGAAAGATAATCATTATTAATATTTTTGCACATTTCCTTTCAGTCTTTCCATATATAACCCTAGAGATACATTAGAGTCATAGTCTTTTGCTCCGTCATATTGATGAAATTCAAATAGGAGGATTACTCATTTTATTATACAAAAAAGTTAAGCTATAAGAATATCCAAGAAAATATTATAAAAAGGAACTAAATCCTGATAACTTCCATGATATTCCCGACTAGTCTATCTGCTTCCTTTAGGGTTTGAGCTATTCAAGATCTCATGAAGAAGCTGATTATTGCCCCAGGCAAGAGATTTTCAAGGCAAACTATGTCTGGAAATTGAGGCAGAGAAATCTCTCCATTACATCACTGAGACTAAATATATTTTCTCAAAATAAATACTAGTGTTTTTGACTAGGAGTTCTTGTTTTCTTTCTTCCTATTAAGCATTCTTTTTGATGGGAAATTCTTTCCAAATTACAGGTTGGCCTATGGAACCCCCAGTCTCAATGCCGTCTTTAGAGACTGCAAAAATATCAAACAGTTATTCATTCATCCATGCATACATGCATTCATTCATTCATTTTGTGTTACAGGCGATTGAACTCAGAGAAGCACTGAGTTACATCCCCAGCCCCTTTTATTTTTTATTTTGAGGCAGAGTCTCTCTAAGTTGCCCAGGTTAGCCTCACACTTGCTGAGGCTGGGCTTGAACTTGTAATTCTCCTGCCTCAGTCTCCTGACTCATTGAACAGCTATGCAGAGTGGATCAAACAAATAGAGATAAATACTCAAGACAGGTATTGTGGAACATGCCTGTAATCTCAGCTACTTAGGAGACTGAGGCAGAAGGATTACAAATTCAAGGCCAGCCTGAACTATTTAGTGACATCCTCTCTCAAAAAGTTAAAAGGGTTGGAGATATGGCTCAGTGGTAGAGGGCTCCTGCGTTCCATCTCTAGTACCATGGAGAGGACGAGGGAGGGGGAGGGGAGGGGGAGGGAGAAAGAAACAAACATAATTTTTTGATAGAAAAACTTTTAAGAATTTGCCAGCAATTTGGGACACTAGATTGTTCAATGGCAACACAACTGGTTGTCCAAGGCAGCAGGTGTCTCTGAATCACATGCATTGACAGAGCCCCATCAATGGAAGTGCAAAAAATGGAGTGGCACTCCATTCTAGGGTTTGAGCAGGTGGATGGAATATGAATGGTTGGTTAGGAGAGTTCTTTCCAGAATAAGGCAGAATTAGGCAAACAGCATCAGAATAGTTTGTCCATGAAAACAGTGAAAGGTCCTAGTAATGATGAACACAGATGAGAGAGAATAAAGAGAATCATCTCAGAGGCAATAGATGTATCCACAGCCATTCAATTGGAAGCAATTAATAGTAAGAATCCATGGTCATTCCTAGTAAATTTCTACAGGTTGGGGGCTAGCAAGATTCCTGAGGCAGTGAGAAGTGGGACTAGAAGACCTCAAAACTCCCTTTATCTTTCAAACCCCATCAAGGAGATCAGATTATATTGCAACATCAGTTATGCTTGCTATATTTAAAGCAACATCAGTGTAAAAACACTTTTCCAGAGCTGATATGAAGTAGTAGGGCTGAGTTGGGAAAATGGCAACCCATATTGAAAAAAAAGACAGCATCTTATCCCTTGAGATTCCCAACAGGCAGTTAGGAAGAGAAAACATTACCTAAAAACGTACCCCAGCATATCTCTAGTCTGTGGCATCCACCATGATTCTATTTAACTCAGCCACATGCCCCAGACACTGAGGTTCAACCATTCTTTGGCTCCCTACCAAATGACCTCTAAATCTCTCACTTTGTTGGCCTTTACAAGAAAGACAGCATCTAGTTTGAAAGCTCAGTGCAAAATGAAGATTTACAGGCTTTAAAAAAAATTATTGAGAATTCCAGGATAGCAGCAGCAGAGAACTAAGCCAAGCCTGGGGTCCTTCTAAACGCAGGCCCCTGTGTGATTGCTCAGGTAAGTTGATAAAGCTACTTCTATTTACAACCTTAGGAGTGCTGGAGGGACCTAGAAACCTTTGTTGCTTAGACATTTTCCTTAGCCACTTTTATAAACCTCATGTTTTCTTAACACACACACACACACACACACACGAGAGAGAGAGAGAGAGAGAGAGAGAGAGAGAGAGAGAGAGAGAGAGAGAAAGGAGAGCTATAATTCTTTGTCCTCCCCATACTCCAAAGCAGAATATGTTCAGGGAATAAAGCAACACCTAGAAGTTGACTGTAATCCTATAATGAGTTGCATCTAAATTAAAAAAAAATAAAAACTGGTAAAAATTCCTGCTGTGTCACTTATAACTTGACCTCCCCGAGCCTCACTTTCCTTATCCAAAAGGAGGAAACTTGAAAATTCAAGTGGAAAATATTTGCGAAAGCCCTCGCCTTTTGGTGGTGCCCCCCCCCAAATGTTGTATCTCTTCTAACCTATAGGGTGAAATTTCAAATAGTTTTCATCTGTACTTTTTCAATACTTGTATTCCTTATTGAAGAAGGAAGCCCATTTTCTACATTGTTATATAGGAAACAGTATATTACATTTTGGATTTCTGTTTGGGTATGGATATGAGGAGAGGGAGGGGAATGTTCCTTTCAAAGATTTAGCAGAAATAGGGCGTCAAGCTGGGGATTCATTAGTAAAACTCATATAAGTAATCTGATACACAGAGAAAGCAGGTGTTTCTACTGCCCACCATGAGATTGAACAGCAGGGAGTGGTCTACACAGCTTGTTAGTGTATTCAGTAAATTCTTTCCAAATAAACTTCCAAAAATGTCACTATCATTTCTTGCTGAAATACATTCAAAACAAGAAAGATAACCACTTTTTCCCTCCCTCATTCCCTCTCTCTCTTATTTCTTTCTTCCCTCCCTCTCTCTTCCTTCCTTCCTTTCTTTTATTTTTTCTTTTCTTCTCCCTCCCTCTCTCCCTCCTTCTTTTCTCCCCCTTCCCTCTCTTCTCTCTGCCCCAACCCCAACCCCTTTCTTTCTCTGGGATTGAACCCAGGGAAACTTACTCAGCCACTGAGCTACATCCCCAG